TGTTTTCACTCATCTCCAGCTTGCCTTTTTCATTTCCCCAGTGCTCATATTCATAACTGTTCTCAATATGTTGTACTTAAAGTACTGCATCGGATCTTTTCAGGGGGATAAGGCAAAATGCCACATTTATTGGTAATAAATATATAAATCACTACTTTATCATATGCATATAATATATTACACTCATGATCTCTCTCTCTCTCACACGCACATGTGCGTGCGCGCACACACACACACACACACGCACACTCCATCTTGTTACCAGCTAGTAGTTGTTCCCCCTAACTGGCCAGGTGGGTTAGATTGGGGAGGGATGGAGCCAAGCTTCTACCAACCTGGATCAGTGTTCTGATGTTGTTGACAAGACTGAGATTTATAGTAGCTCCCCTCTCGTGCAAATCTATACAAAAAACAACAACAAATGGTCTGGTAGCACTTTATAGACTAACAAAACATGTAGATGGTATCACTAGTTAGTCATCATATGCACAAGCAAAATTTGTGTCATCTTATACATATGCAATTAGTCATCTGTGGCACTTTCTTCTGGGTGCTGTCTTAATGCTACCACATTCATCTTCAAAGAGGGTACTTCCAAAAGAAGACACTTCTCCCAAGGTCGTCAATATGTCTGATCTTCTTTCAATGAGCCCACTTGAAAGGTCTTATTGTCCTTGGATCTGGCTTCCATCTGCTCTCCAACTGTTGTAGCTGCTCCAAGGTGCTTGCCTTCTTCATGCCTTATCCAGTCACACCTCATTCATTCAATAGGACAATCAATTAAATAAAAGGGGAGAGATCTATTCCGGTGCAAAGACATGACTAATTGCTTCTCGGCCTTTTGGCTAAAATCAAATGTTATATCAAAACTTAATACAAAGTTGCGATATAAAAAGACTTACTATAAAGTTTCTATATATAATGACAATACAACGTTATATATGGAAAGAATTAATACAAGATTATATGAAAGGCTTAATACAAAGTCATATGAAGATGATACAAAGTTATATGAAGATGTTTAATACAGAGAGTTAGCTACAAACACTCCTTTTCTGGTGTGAGATGGTGGGATCAGCAGATTAACATGGACGATTTGACATTCAGACTGGTGGAAAGGTAACTGCCAAAACTGGCACCATCTATAGCACTTTCCCAGTGTTATCCATTATCAGAATAAACTGCTTAACACCCAGGAGCACTCAGCAGCTGTTTACCTGCTCAAGTAGGACAACTTTTCGGAGCACATACCACCTGTGCTGCCCCATATTTGTCTTTGAGATGCAATTCAAAATACTGATGATGATGGATGGTGTCCTGGTGCAAGTCATGTCCTGGTGCAAGTCGTGTCCTGGTGCAAGCTGTATCCCTGTGTGCACAGCTGCTGCCCCCTTTGCCCTCCCAAAATCTGCCCTTATCTCCTCCTCCCCCACTGAGATTCCCGGTCTCGGTTGTGCAACTGCTCCAGCCAGGGATGGCCTGTGGTCCAGCAGTTTGAAACCCCTGGAATAGAGTGAGGCAGCAGAAGTGTAGGTGCTAGTGAACTTAAATAGCAAAAACTTCAGCACTGAGTGTTTTTAGGCAGCAGCTGAGAGAGTTTTGTGGGTCACAGTGGAGCCTAAAATTGTGATTTATATGCCTAAACACCCTTGATGCTCAGTGCCAAGTTGTGCCAGTACCCTGGAGGGCACGGGAGTTCAAGGTGATGTCCAGAGTGGCTAAACGGGGCATTGTGGGATACATGCTGGAGTCCAACAAACTCGACAGAGAACCTACTTAGTACACACTGCTTGATTGTCAACAATGCCGAGACAAAAGTCCCTCATGGGGTTACAAGTTTTTTGTCACTGAAAATGGTTGTATGTCACAATATTTGTTGCATTGTAATGTGAACGTTCAGAGGCTTTTGTCGCCAAAAGGCAAGTTTTGGCAACAAAATGTGCCAGTGTAGAAAAGGTCTTAATCCAGTTTAGCTGAGTCGTTTTGCAAATCCCAACCCTACTTTTACAACCGTGGTCTAAAACACTCATTCATCAGTTGTTTGTTTTATTTTCATTTAACTGCAGATCAGTATCCCCAGTTCTCTGAGGAGAACCCAGAGGGTTAGAACAACTTTATAAATTCTATTTTAGTGCCATTTAAAAGACCATAAACCACAAATAGTAATAGAAAAAAAAGTCATGAAATGTACTGCTAGGTATCTGTTAAGCAACAAACAAACTGAGAACATCATTGCAGGTAACATTTTTATTTTTATTACAGAGACTCTATACGTTTAAACACTTTAAGTGAATTTTTCTTCCTTTAATTCCAACTCTATTGCAGGCCTCTATTTTCTGAAAAAAATTACTTTTTCCAAATAAATCCATTTTACCACTATTGCATCACTGGGTTAGAAAGGAATATCCATTTTATAACAGTTTAATTAGATAATTAAATATCAGTGGGATTTCATTTTACACAGGTAGCTAAGCGTAATTAAACACATTTTGTTTTTAAAAAGCTGTTGAGGGTACTCTTACAATTTAAATCTGAACTTTCAGAGCCATTGACTCCTGAGAGAATCAGCAGCAAACACATTTAATCATAGAACGTTAACTTAGCTCTTGGCAAGCTTATGGTCACTGGACAGGAAGCAAATTAAAAGAGGCTTTTCCATTTCAATATATGAAGCCTCAAAAATAAAATCCATCACCAGAAACCTGCTGCTCAGTCCCATCTCACTGCACCAAAGGTTGCAAAAAATGGAGAATTCCCAGGGGGATGATGGGGCTGGAGTATTTGTCTGCATTGTTTTTCTGTTGAAGATGATCAGATGTTGTTCCAGGAATTTCCCCATTGTCTGATGGTCTCTGCACACAAGCAGGGCAACAAATCTCAAGTGAAATTTATCTCTGCCTGTTGGGGAGGTCTGGCTGAGAGAGGCTTTTCAGAGGCTACTGGGCCACATCTCCCATCAGATGTCAGGGTTTAATTAATAGTTGTTCTACACATAGGATTATAATTCCATATTTGAGGTTATTCAGCATAGGGAAAGCCTTGTGACTTCTTACACAACTGTAGGAGGCGAAGCCTGAGGCTCCTTGGTGTGTTCTGCATTGTGTATGATGTGTGTGCACCTCAGACCAGACCCACTCAAACCACCAGGAACAGCCTTTATTCTGTAAAAAACATAGAACAGGATCACAGTTCAGCAGCCCCTTCTCTCAGCATGCAGCCTGTGTGCTGCTTCTAGCACAGTCCTTTGAGACCCTGCCGGGGGCAGAGGGAACATCCTGGCAGGAACCAGGAAGTTATTCCAACATGCCATGGTTTGTAGTCCACAACTTGTAGTTCCCAGGGCTGCTGCTGAAGCACACTGGACCTTGCGCTACACATAGAACACTGAGGACATCACATATGCTCCATGTCTGAGCTATAGTACATGCCAGTCAGCTTTACCACCAGCCTGATCCAACTCCCACCAGGAGCTCTGCTTCCATCTCCATTCCCATTCCCTCCCTGAAGCACATAAACCACCACATTCTTCCTCGGCCAATCCTTCAAGCATCAAACCATGACGGTGGTTTTAGGGAGCTGAGAGTTACAGGCTTCTTGCTTGCCATTCAGTACCCCCAGTGCTGCCTCCCAGCTGTTCCTAGCTGCCATCTCTTCTCCGTCCTGCCCTGCTCTTCCAGTATGATCACTGCCCCTGGTGTGCCCTCGCCTGTGGATCTAATGGAAGGATTTTAGCCTACATCAGTTATTATACCCAAACTTATCTTTGGATGATGTACTTTAGGAGCTTCTACCTCACTGTTTTTTCTATTCAGATTGGAGTGTGAATAAAAATAGAGGACCAGATTTGAAGTCAGTGTAAATGAGAGTAGCTCCAGCTCCCCTGAAGTCAATGGAAGGGTACAGATTTACAGCAGATGAGACATTGATCTAGAGATTTCTAATAGAAATGATGTTACTTTCCTTGGGAGGTTGCACTCTAACAAGCTTAGCAAAGGGCTA